TTGCATTTTACATATTTTTTGAATTTTTTTTAAATATAATTCATTTATAATTTTTTTTTCTATCATTTTAAAATAAACATATATATTCGAAGTATATCATATATCAAATTACATTATATCAAATTATTATTACAATTACAAATTTCTAGTACTAAAAAAGACAAAAACACGACAGACTGCAGTAAAAAGTACATATGTTGTTGGTTATTGATTAAGTTTAGGGTGGTACTGTCTTCTAACAATTTGCATTTTAAATAATTTTTTAATTTTGAAAATATAATTGATTTATATTTTTTTATATCCTTTTAAAACAAACATATATATACAGACATTAATATCATATCATATACTAATTTATATTATACCAAATCATTATTTAAATTAAAAGTTTGTACAACTAAAAACAATATTAAAATATAAGCAATTGCAGTAAAAAGTACATGTATTGTTGATTCTTTGTTGAGTCTTAAGTGATATTGTATTATAACAATTTGAATTTAAATATATTTTTCAAAAAAATTTAAAATATTGTTTATTTATATTTTAAAATAAACATATAGTATATTAGTATTATATCATATTTTAATTTATATTATATAAGATAATTATTACAATTAAAAAATACCAATTGCAATAAAAAGTACAGATTTTGTTGCTTATTAGTTGAATTTCAAATAACATTGTCTTCGAATAATTTGCATTTTCAATAGTTTTTTTTTTTAAGTTATCAAAATATAATTCATTTATGATTTTTAAATATTTTTTAAATAAACATATATATATATCTATATATTAATATTATATCATATTATATACCAATTTATATTATATCAAATAATTATTATAATTTAAAACTATTAATATAAAAATACTAAAATATAATCAATTGCAATAAAAAATACATAGGTATCATTGATTATCGATTGAGGTTTAAATTACACAATGTTTTAACCATTTGTATTTTACAAAATTTTTTTAAAATTTAAATGTTATTTTTTTATATTTATTTCTATTCTTTTATACATATAAATATATATATCATATGCCAATTTATGTTATGAAACAATTATTACAATTAAAAGTTCATTCTATTTAAAAAAAAAAAAAACTAAAATACAATCGGTGCAGTAAGAATTACTGTGTTGTTGATTATTGGTTGAATTTTAAGTAACATTATATTCTAACAATTTGTATTTTAAATATTATAAAAATAAAATATGATTTATTTATAATTTTTTTTCTATCTTTTTTAACTAAACACACATATATATATTAACGTCATATTATATACTAATTTATATCGAATAATTATTGCAATTAATAGTTCACACGGTTAAAAATTACTAAAACACAATTACAGTAAAAAGTACAAATATCAGTAGTTATTTGTTAAGTTTTTAGGTGAGACTGTGTTCTAACAATTTGCATTTTAAAAAGTTTTTAAAATATGATTAATTTATAATTTTTCTATCTTTTCTATAATTTTTCATTTATAAATTTTCATATCAAATAATTCATATTATATCAAACAATTATTATAATTAAAAATTTCTACTATTAAAATAAAGTACCCGTGTTATTGATTATTGGTTGAGTTTTAAGTAACATTATATTCTAATAGTTTGCATTTTATATGTTTTTAAAAATTTTAAAAATATGATTCATTTGTCATTTTTTCTATCTTTTTTTCTGAAAAAATAATCACATATATTAATATCTTATTATATAATATTATATGAAACAATAATTTCAATTAAAAATTTAAACTATTAAAAATTACTCAAACACAATAACTGACAGTAAAAAGCAAATTCTGCTGATTATTGGTTGAGTTTTAGATATCATTGTATTATAATACTTTACATTTTAAATATTGTTTTTAAAAATACATATATAAACATAATTTATTTATATATTTTTTTCCAATACTTTTGAAATATATATATACATTCACATACATTCAAAATTTTATTTTTTTTTAATAAAAAGCAATAATTTATGAACATAGTATATGGATATATATACATGTCTATATTATTTATTTATATTTTTAAAGTATCATTCTACAATATAGTAGTGTTATTACAATGCTTCTACATTATTAATAATTATATATTATTTATTAATATTAAGTTTTATTTTATAAAACTATAATAATTTAATTATAAATATATTATATTTATAAAATTTGTATTTGATATAAATTTATATAATTAATATATATTCATAAAAAAAAAAATTATTTTACAATCCTACAAAATCAGTATAAATCCATCTAAATCAATTACTAAAATCCATCAAATTCAGCGTGGACTATGTGGATTTTTTAAATCCACATAAATTATAAACTTTTTAAAATCCAAAAAAATCTATTAAAATCTCAATTAAATACACCTCTTATTTTATTTTATTTTTAATTACACAAGTCTTAGAATTATTTGTTAAAATATATTATTTTATCTCATGAAATATTGTATCTAAATCATATATTGATGTTTTATATAGTTCAAAATTTTTTATATAGTTAAATTAATTTTTTATATGATTCAATATATATATAATATTAACATTTTAAAATAAATTTAACATGTAATATAAATCCTTAATATCATAAATAAAAAATAGCCGCGATATAATTACTTGAGTTTGATTTGAATTTTTATATAAATAATATTTTAATATGATATTTTGTGAAAAAAAATTAAAACAATACAAAATAAATAATGATAATTTTGATTTAAAAAAATACTAAAACACATCCGATCACTAAAATGTACATGTATTGTTAGTTATTGATTGAGATTTAAGTAGCATTGTGTTATAACAATTTGCATTTAAAATAATTTTGAAATTTTTTAAAATATGATTCATTTATAACAATTTTTCTCCATTGCTTCATAATCCTGATCCTACGGCTCCATTTATGCCTCCGGATTCTGTTCCAATTGAGATATCCGATCCTCCTCTAGTTGAGGCTTCTGATTTACCTCCGACCTTTTCTTCAGATGCTGATCCGTTTGCAGTCCTTGAACCTGTCATACCTCGTCAATCACATCAAGTAAGTCACCCTCCTACTCATTTGCATGATTATCATTGTTACTCTACCATATTATATCATCATGAGCCTAGGTTATTTTGTGAAGCGAGTGCTGATCCATTGTGGCAGCAAGCTATGATTGAGGAATTGCAAACTATGGCAAAAGACTCACACTTGGGATTTAGTAGATTTGTCTTCTGGCAAGACACCCATGAGGTGCAAGTGAGTTTTCAAAATCAAGACTAATTCTGATGATTATGTTGAACGCTACAAGGCGCATCTAGTGGCTAAGGGTTATTTTTAGGGGTATGGAGTTGACTATGAGGAGACTTTTGCCCCTGTTGTTCGTCTCGCTACTGTTCTTTGTCTTCTTGCCGTTGTTGTTGTTTGTCGCTTTGGTCCCTTTCAGTTAGATGTCAAGAATGCATTCTTACATGACACTTTATCTGAAGAAGTTTATATGACTCCTCATCCAGATTTTCCGTCTTCTGGAAAGGTTTGTCGCTTACGTCGCACTTTATATAGGTTGAAGCAGGCCCCTCGGGCCTGGTATTCAACATTTAGCTCTGCGCTCTTGGAGTTTGATTTTACCGCATGCGCCTACGATTCTGGATTATTTCTTCATCGCCCTTCCTCAGGGATAGTTTCCTCTTACTTATGTTTATGATATGATCATCACGGGAGATGATGCGTCTGGTATTTATGATCTACAGTCATATCTTAGTCAGTAGTTTAACATGAAGAGGTTGGGTCTCCTTCGTTACTTTTTGGGACTTGAGGTCCCTGATTCTCTCGATGACTTCTATCTATCTCAGGCTAAGTATGTCTCTGATCTTATTTCTTGAACTGGTCTCACAGACTGTCAGGTAACCTCACCACTACTTGCCTATGATGTTCGACTTACACCTCACGATGGTTATCTCCTTGATGATCCTACCATATATTATCAGCTTTCTGGGAGTTTGATCTATTTGACTATAACTAGACCTGATATTGCTCATGTAGTGCATATTGTGAGTCAGTTCATGGATGCGCCGAAGACCTTTCACCACTATGTCGTCTTACATATTCTTCGCTATGTGAAAGATACACTTCTGCATGGTTTACATTTTTCATATCACTTATCTTTGACATTCAATGGTTATTCTGATACTGATTGGGCTGGGGACCCTACTGATCGTCGTTCGACCATTGGTTTCTATTTTTTTCTTGTGTGATTCTCTTATCTATTGGCGCAGCAAGAAGCAAACTTTGGTTTCTCAATCGAGTGCTGAGTCAAAGTATCGTACTCTTACTGACTCTACACCAGAATTTCTATGGCTTTGTCGACTACTCACTAACCTTGGTGCCCATCAGCCATTTTCTACAGCTCTTCGCTGCGATAGTCAGAATTCTATGAAGATGACCCATAATGATACCTTCAACGAGTGCACAAAACATATTGAGTTTGACTGTCACTGTATTCGACAACATGTCTCTTCTCCCTGGCCGCTTTCGATTGCTCTTGGACAAACTAAAGTTAGTTTCTACTGCTCCATCTAAGTTTGAGGGGTGTTAGATTTAGATATCCTCTTATTAGATTTAAATATTTTTTTATATTATTTATCTTAGTTTATTCTTGAATCCACTAGTATATATACTCTTGTATATAATACAATTACATAATTTTCTCCCAAATTCTAGCACTTGATAAAAAAAATTAAATATATATACATACGAAAAAAGAAATAAGTTTCTTTCATAATTTCATATATAAATATAAGAATTTTAAGTATTATTTTACTTAACAAAATTAGATAACATATTACTCAATAAATTTTACTTAAATAATTTTTTTATATATTTATATTAAAATACAAAAACTATAAATACATATAGTTTACCAAAAAAAACAAAATAATAATAATTCTAATAATGCATCCCTCCCAACAAGAAGATCCATAAAATAAAACAAGATGCAGCAAAAACTAGAGATTGTCTATAGCTAATTTTATTTATTCCCTCACCACCTTGTCTGAATTTTTGGTTTGTCCGAGGCACGAGACAACAACATATATAAGAATTAGATTAATTAAATCAAATTAAATGTTAATTCAAATTAATTAATTAATCTAAATAAATCAAGAAAATGTACACAACCCTTTACTTGGGAATGGAAAACACGTGATGCCATTAAGACAAAAATAAATAAATAAAAACACATCATCAAGTGTTTTAACAATAATAATAATAATAATAATAATTAACAAGAAATGCCTCTAGCTACAATGATCAAACCCTTTTTTCTTAATTTTTTTTCTTTCTCATATCTCTTTTGATATTTTTTTCCCTCAACATAATCTTGATAAAATCAATTATTAATAATAAAATAATTATTATTTCTCTATTTCCCCTTAATTTTTTTTGGGTTTTATGGTTTTTAGGGTTTGTTCTTTTTTCTTTTTCTTTTTTGCCCTAACACAAAGGTGATCTTTGAGGCACTCTTTTTCTTCTATTACTCAAACTCATACTCATAGCCATGTCCTCTTCACTTACCTTGCTTGCCAGTCTCCCACAAACATACATTTCACTTCTCTTCTTCCTCACGAATTCCGTGCACGAAAAGCTTACGTTGTGCGATCCCGACGAGCCAGACGACGAGCTCATGGGCCCGTCGCTGCTGTCCACGATCGTCGAATGTGGGGTTTCGTTCGTCGTATCGTCGTCCCCCATGTCTTGTGGGATGAAGAAATCTGGACTTAGTTGGAGTGTTGTGCATACTCTTAAGAATGGTGAAAGATCCTTGTAGTGTTTAAGCACAAAGTCAACCTGTTATAAATTGGATTCAAGAAAGAGGTAAAAGAGTTATATTATTGACTCATAAATTACAATTAGATAAAAAAGAAAACTATATATATATAATTAGAACCAAAACAAAAAGATGTTAAACTTAATATTTAAAAATGAATACAAAGAAAGGTAAATTTTCTATGTAAAATACAACATTCAAAATAGTCATCAAGTTTTACTTTATAAAGATTCTGTTCTTTTTAATATATACTATATTTTTTTTATATTTACGAATTACGACACAATTTTATTTTCCAAGAAAAAATATATTTATTTTTGTACATTTTATCACGACAAACAACATTTTCATCTAAAATACTGATAAAAGCCAAAACATTCTAAAATATACACACCCAAAAAGAATTTTAAATAATATTTCGTGTATAAGGGACTATTTTGCAATTTACCGCGGTCCAACTTTACGGCTGTCAAAAATTGACTGAAACCCTAATTTTGAGACTGCTACCATACCTACCACAGAATTATACACACACCTGTCTGCATATACATACACACGTATACATACATACATTATATATATATATATTTTATGTCTCTATGTGTGTGCATGAGAATTGGCAATTCTGACATTGTTGTTGAGCAATTAGGTATGAAAAATACCCTAATTATAAACCCCAAACATGACAATTGTGGAATAGAAACAAAAATTCAAATCAAATTCTGAAACAGAAAGAACAGAAAACCCATTGATCCACAAAATTGAGTGACCCAGAAAAGAATTAGGTCAAAATTTAAAATTAACAGCCAAGTTTTTAGGAGGAATACACACAATTCAACTGAACTAATAATTACCATTAGTTACATACATATATATATATGTGAAGGGTAAATAATATATAATTTAATTTAATTTAATTTTTTAAATTACCTTGCAACTTAGGGAACAGTGGATGAAAGGTTCTTGGAGGCTCCTGTCACAAGAAGTGCAATAATTCCCAGACCCTTTGAACTGTCGATTTTGTGGTCTCTTCTTGATGAACACCACTTTTGCAGCATTTATCGTGTACGCCTTTATCAAATTAAATATTTATTTTTTTCATAATTAGTAATCGCAGAATTAAGGCTATATATATATATGTGTGTGTAGCCGTGTTTTCGATTTTTTTGAATTTAATTAATTGCGAGTCGTAAAATTGAATAGTACGAAAACAAAGTTGAAAACATAAGTAAACAGTCGAAAACCTGAATGTTGGAGCAATCAATGAGCTTGTCAAGGTCCTCCAATCGGACAACCTCGTGATAAACATAGCGGCGAATCTGAAGAAGGCGATGAGATCTATGGGAGACGACGCAATGAGGGCAGACACTGCTGCAGCAATCAAGACAACATATGTTCTTCTCGTTCTTCTTGGCGCTGTCGTGAATCGAGCAAGGGAAGAAGAATTTTTGCGCGTATAGGGCATCCAACCATGCTGGTTTCTGAGGCCTCTGATTCATTCAAAACCAAAAAAAAAATTATTCGAGGTGATCGAAAAATTGATCATCCATTTATGTTAGAACCATAATTCAAATAATTCGATAAAATTAAGGGCCGCGGTAGCGATGGCGATGGCGGCGTACCATTGTTGCGGGGATATAGTTTGATAGTTTTGTTCTAGAGCTGGAGAGTTGATGGAGCCTGAGAAAATGGAGTTAGTGTGAGAGAGAGAGAGAGATATAGAGAGAGAGACAGAGAGTAAAGGGAGGACTAGGGTATGGATTCACTCTTATTTATGGAGTTTAGGATGTTTAAATATAATATACGGTAAAGTTTTTTTTTTTTTTATTTATGACGTGGGAATCCACAGCCGCTACCAGAAAGTGCGCATTGGGTAAACTCTCGACCAAACCTAATATCTTGCAAACCAGACCTGACGGAAAAGTCATATTAGGCGAACCATGTGTGTAGCAGGTGAAAAAAGATGATAACTTTTTATTAGTAAAAATGTTCATTATTGTGATTGTTTTTTAGAATTAACTTTTCGACCAAGTAAAATGGGTGAATTTTATTATAATGTGAATGGTAATTTAGTAAAATAATTTATTCCTTTCTATAATTTAGAGAATTACATAAAATTCATATGTCTTTTGTATGGTAAAATGTAAAATTTCAATTGTAATTCTAATGTGTAAAATATATCATCACCTAAATTTTAACATATGAAAAGATATTTTCTGCCTATCTTAATTTATCACAAAAAATTTGGCACAATAAATAAAATACTAAGAGTTTTATGCCTTTTTACTTATTCATAAAAATAGTAGTATTCAAATTACCCATTTATGAACTACAGAAAATGATATATATATATATATATATACTTAAAAAGAATATCAACAATTGAATATATATCCATAGTTTCTAATTAAAAGTAATAAAATCATACTTCCTCCATCCACAAGCTAATATCTTATTTTTTTTATTTAGAACGTTCAAGAATTATGGTCTTATTTCTATATTTATACATGTAATTTATTTTTTTATCCTTATTTTATCTATCATTTTTTTTTCTATACATAAAGTAAAAAGCAAATTCGTCAATTCACACAAAAAATTAATTAAAAAATATATAAATATCAATTATGACATTAAAAAAATAGACTGAGGGAGTATTATAGTAAATATATATATATATCCTCTCAATAAAAATAATAATTGAATATCCATACAAAACAAAATTTACGATTCTCCCATTAAAAATATAAAAATATATTTTACACCGACTAGTATTAGAAATCATGTGGGATTGTTTAAAATTATAAGGGAGTTGGTAATACTATATTTTAAATTATTTTTTCAAGATATCTATACTTATATATTTTATATTTCTTATTAAATACTCCTTTCGTCCCAGATATTTTATCCGTTTTACTGTAGATACGAGAATTTAAGAGGGATATAATTAATAAATAATTAAAAGTTTAAGAATGAATATAATTATTGTATAATAAAAATAATTATAAATTAAGATAAAGATAACTTATTAGTATAATTAAAAATTAAAAAAATTAAATAAGATTAAAGTGTATAATTTTTTTTCAAAAAAAAAGAAAATGACAAAATAAGTGTGACGGGAGAAATGGAAAGGTGGACATGAGAAGTGGGACGGACAGAGCATTTGTCATGAGAAAGCAAAATAAAAAAGTATTTTGATGCTTTCTTTACTAAGGGTAATTTAGTCATTTCATTGTATATTTTTATAACTAATGTTTTTCTATTTTATATTAAAATCGAAGGAACAAAGCTAAATATTTTAATTTAATTGTATATCCTATTAATTATATTTATCAGATAAATTGTACTTTTGAGCTAATTATTGAGGAGAAATTAAAAAGTTCTACACACTTTTTTCTTAGATGGTTTGAATGTTTGTAAAAATAATAAATAAAAATATCATCAAGTAGTAAAAAGTAAACAAATTCTCTATAATTATTATTAAAAAATATAATATATACATATATTAACACAATATATGCAATACTCCACAATTGATATATTTTTTACTATTCGAATCTCAAATTTTTATTATTTGAATTCTGCGTTTTAAAAAATAATATATATATTTTCTCATAAATTAAATAATTTATTATATATTATTTTAATACCAAATTCAAACCAAAATTTTTCAAATTCTATAAAAAAAAAAAAAAAAAAAGTCAACAATTCAATACAAATGCGATATCTAAATAGATGTTCATAACGAAAATGGTAACTTTACATGAATATCCAATTTGGTAATAGAAATGGGTAAAAAAGTTGCAACTTTGGCTTGGAATACATGTTCAATCATCTTTGTTATTTTTAAAAAAATTAATATTGAATCGTACATTTCTTCAGCAAATTTTTGTATTTAACTTTTTTTACCCAATACGCAATTGATCATAAATAATTAAAATTAAAATTTTTCAAAATTTACCCGAGTTCGATCACTATTTAGTAGATTTATATCAATATTTGATTTTATTCATAGATTAGATTACTTAGATTTGAGTCTATCGAGTCTGTTTTGTATTGTCTATATATAGGCTCCTTATTTTGATGATCAATAAGACAATCTCATTATTTTTCCCCAAAATTTCTAACAATCACTAAGGGCAAAAGTGTAAAAAAAAAAAAGAGCACAATCTAAACCATATATTTTTGCGTAACAAAGAAAATCGAAAAGTGTAGAATGTTATGCAATGTTGACATTTTTTGTTAAGAATATGCGGTTGTTTATTATCGATTTGATGTTCCCTTAAAGTTCAGAGCTTCGGCTTCTAAAAAAACTCGGGTCCAATCTACCGCATGCTAATTTAGTTTTACCATTTATTTTCATTTAATATTTTTCACTAGACCAATTTTTGCGAACTACTAAAATATAATTAATTATGTACTATTATTATTATTTTACCAAATTAAGTATTTAGATGAGATGATCATTTATCGTAATATCAAATTAAAATTGAAATTGAAATTGAAATTGAAAGGTTCCATGTTTGAATCCTTGATTTCATTTTACCTTAATATAATATATATATATATATATCACATACTCTCTCTATCTTATTGAAAGGTTGTCATTTTTCATTTTCGTTCATTCAAAACAAGGTTATCATTTCCTAATTTAATAATTGTACTACTTATCTAACATAATAAATACCCTTTCAATTTGCACTATATTACACAAATGTCATTATTTTTATATTACACAATACTAATAAGGGTATTTTCGTCTTTTTCATTACAACTCATTATAATACTAATATTCAAAAATCTATTTGTAAAAACTAAAAACGACAACCTTGCACTGGGACGGAGGGAGTATATAATTTTCTTTCCTTTATACTTATATTTTTCATTAAGATTTTTTATAAATAGATATATCCTTTTATTCTTTTGTTCAAGAAGTGTATTTTATTACATAAGCCCGTGCGTTTGAAAAAGGAAGAAAGAAAAAAAAAGACACAGAGACCCTATCTTAAGTATTGGAATAAATTAAATAAAATAGAAAAATAATATAAATAAAATAAAAGGGAAAGAAAGATATGATGAGGAGGAGGAGAACGTGGGCTCTGTTCCCATGTCTCCTAAATATTTATATAAAAAATAAATAAATAAATAAATAATAAAAAGTTTGTCATATATCTCCTTGTGTTATGAGCTGAAAACCCTAAAAACTAAACCAGACCTTCTTGAAACAGGTGCTCAATTATTTATTGTTCTTCTATTTTATTATTTAATTTAAGCTATGTCCTTTTGATTATTATTTTTTTTTTAAATATCTTTTCAAATATATATGGTCTCACAATTTTAAATAAAAATATATTTATTTTTTACCTAAAAATAGACAAAAATTAAAATCTACAAAAACACAAAAAAAAAAAAAAAAAAAAACTAAATTTGTTTTCTTTTGTTGTGTTGATCCTTATATATATATTATTTATTTATATTTTATAATTAAGGCCATACACTCATATTCTTGTGTTTACAAGTGGGCTGTCGATGTAACCTTTCTCTTTGTACTATTATTATTTTTTTGGCGATTAATAGTATAAAATATGTTTGAAGTGTACCACACATATAAATATATATATATATTTATTTTATTTATTTATTTATATATATAAAAAAGAATAAAATAAAAATTGAATTGGTGTGTGAGCCTAGTTATTCGTTAATATTTGGACTGATTCATTCGTTAAAGTGGGTAGCTGCTGCCTGCTGTACTACTGTGAATTAATTAATTTATTAATTCCACCTACATTACATATATATTTTGTGTTCTTTTAATCTTCATCTTTCAGATCATTGCTTTGACTGGTGCTACCTAGTAATGGATTTAATTTTAGACCAATATATATATATATATATACACTCGGCTCATCATTTTCTATTTTCGTACGTCCCAAAAACAAAGTTATTATTTTCTAATTTAGTAATTGTATTACATACCTAAAATAATAAATACCCTTTCAACTTACAATATATTACACAAACATCGTTACTTTTACATTGCACCATACTAATAGGGGTATTTTTGTCTTTTTATTACAATACAGTGTAATACTAATATTTAAAAATCTACTTGAAAAAACAAATGTCAACCTTCTAATAAAACGGAAGGAATATATTTATTAGTGACTTGTTATCTCATAATAATATACATATCTCCATATATATATATATATATAGAGAGAGAGAGAGAGAGAGTTTTGGGTGTAAATCACAATTTACAATTGCTCCTTGATATATATATATATATATGTGTGTATTCTTCTACATGAAATCCATGGAAGAAACTTTGGATGGTTTTGAAGAAAGAGAGTGGATCATACAATGAGTTTTAATTTGTTTACTTTTGTAATTTTGATCACACACATATATATATTGAAAGATAAAAACTTCTCTTTTTTTTTTTTTTTTACGAAAAAATTTGCGGTCGCTATTTTTCGAATGCGCTTTGAATAAACTTCGACTTAAAACAATAAAAGGTTTTGCAAGAACCATTTGTGGTTTGTTTGGTTTGTCATTCATGACATATTTTCTACTGTTCAGATATTCGCATATTTTTAATGAAAATATACTATTTTTCTAATAAAATATAGCATTACATTCAAAATATTATTTAAATTCAAATTCAAATTTTAAATCCAAATACAAAGGCAAACCAAACAAAATATATAATTAAATTGTAGTATTATTGTTTAATACTATTTC